CCCCCAGGGCATCCAAGATGCAGGTGACTTTGTTTCTTCAGTAGAACACAAACAAAGATTTTTAGTCGGGGTTTAATTTGGTTTTGTTTGTGTATGCTTTTTTTTTTTTTTTTTTTTACTATCAAAGCCATGGTTCCTATTCACTTCCATTATAAGACTGACAGACTGCAACGGTTTGAGTTAAAAATCTCCGTATGCGTTCTACCGAAGAAACAAAGTCACCTACATCTTGGATGCACTGGGGGTAAGCAGATAAACATCACATTTTCATTTTTTGGTGAACTATCCCTTTAAGCATGTAGTAAGTGTATAAATCACTATATAAAGGACTGTTTCAAATAAGTTGGTTTGGATCCTTCACTTTAATTGATCTCTCCATTTCATCATCTCTCATGTAATATCATAAATTAGAGCAGACCGCAATGTTTCCTCCTAATTTGGCCATGAAGAAAATGGGTGAAGTTGGCAGCCGGTGGTGTTTGTGTTAAATGGGCGGCCCTCCGGCATGCACTTTAGGAGCAGGCAATGGGGCTGTATGTGAATGTAACCGTAACATGATGACATGTGCACTATAGTACGCAGCCGTGCATAGTATGTGCGCTGATGAGTATGTGCCTGGCCTCGAACCGATCACTCATTTGTCTGGCTGTCTTGCTCCGTGCCCTCACTGGGCATGAACCAATAACGCCATGTTGCCTGGAAACCATCACATGGATCCTGCCAAGAGCTGGATGACGTGTTTCGAAGGACAGTTGAACCACTGTCTCCTAAATAGAAACCTCTGTATGTGCATGTTTGTTGGGGTCATTGTGTTGTTTGCACTGTGATCTGGGCCAGCAGGCCCCTCTAGCTGATTACAACTACCAGATGGCACAGTTTTGACTGAATGGAGGTCAGTGTATCAGCATTAGGAAGTGGAGACTTGAATACGGAGACTAGTGAAAACGGTCATTACCATACTCTTGACCTACTTGAAGATCCATACTTGAATGGGGGATTTGTACATGCGGCCGCTCGCTGAGGTGCATGAGGACCGTATGCACCCATTAATCATTCTGCCCAAGAACCTCTTCATCACTGATGCTTGGCCAGGCATAAGTGAGCATATGGGAAGGGAAAGACCTGGAGGCCTTATTAAATAAGTGGATCCTCTTTCACTGCCACTTAGGGTCTATAGGACCATCTGTTACTGGACTGCATATTTTTTTATGCTTATTGCTGATTTTTCTTTCCTTTAAGGAGTTCAAGATGCTGATGCTGAGATTCACTTTCCTTTAAAACAAAGGGAGTTGAGAGCGATTGACTGGTATCAAAGAGGTCTGTGATACCTGGAATATGCTGTCTGGCAGAATTTTCATTTTTAATTTTTGATTCATATGTGGCTTGTTGAAAGAGCAAGGCCTTCAGTGACAAAAAGCTGCTTTTTCAGCCAGTTGTTGTATTATTGATATCTGCCAGCAGAGGCTAAGTGGATCCTGCTAACCAGCCAAATCTTGACCCATTGATTTATTTATTGACAAGGTCAGTTTTGACATTTTGAATCGCATTGCATTAGCTGATGACTGTATTGGTAGCCATTGAAAGTTTAGCATATTATATATGTAAATACAAAAAAAAATTTCAGATTTTGTTTAATTATAAGCTTTTGTGTAAAATTTTGTTTTAAGCTTTATTGCAGTGATACATGAATTCACATTATATCAGCCAACTTGCTCAGTAAATTTTAAAATTTCGGGTGTTATTTCTCATTAGAAACAACTTCGCTAAACATTACTGTTCAAATGTTTGGGGTCAGTAAGATTTTAGTTTTGTTTTGTTTTCAAAGACGTCTCTTATTATTACCAAAGCTACATTTAATTGATGCTGTAAAAGTACTAATATTGTGAAATATTTTTTACAATATAAAATGGCTTTTTCTATTTGAATGCATTTTAAAATGTGATCTATTCATGTGATGGCAAAGCTGAATTGTCATCCATTACTCTAATCTTCAGTGTCACATGATATGTTAGAAACTCTAATATGCTGATTTGGTGCTGAAGAAGCAGTTTTCATTATCAGTGTTAAATTACTGTTGTGCTGATTCGACTTTTTGTGAAAACTGTGATACTTATTTTTTTTTTCTTTGCAGAATTCTTGGAATAAATTAATAACAGCGTTTATTTGATAAGTAACTTTTTCAAACATTACAGATATCTTTACTTTTGATCAATTTAATGTGTCCTTGCTGAAATGAAAGAATTCATTTAAAAAAAATAAAAATCTTACGGACCCCAAAATTTAGGAATTTTGAATTTCACCTGAGAGTGCATAAAACAGAACCATTTTTTTCTGTTTTTGCTTGTGCTTTTTAAAAATTCTTGCAAGGTAACCAGAACGCGAGCTCCTTTAGGGGACTGTATTGATCAGAGAGCTTTAGCAGACGCAGTGTTTAATCTCCTCCAGCTGACCTTGCAGATGTGAGGGCACCGCTGGCACACGTCCAAGCTGTTGCGTCCCTGCACTCAGGGTCACTGTGTGTGAGGAGAGCACACATTACTTTGATTAAATAGACAGATTAAATGTTTGGTGAGCAGATGGTTTTTAAAAGGCGTAGTACACCCCAAAATGAAAATGGTCATTTATTTACCTGCATACTGCACTTGTATATATATATATATATATTTTTTTTTTTCCTGACACCGATAGTTCAGATTGACCATAGATGCCAAGGCTCAAAAAGGCTTCTGAAATCATGACCGCTTTGTGCGATCATTTCACTAAGAATTTCTCCTCTGCTATAGCTCTTAAATCTTATTCCCCACACTTTGTCCTGTTACAATATATGCAAGAATCAATGGTGTCAATGACACCAAACCTGCTGTTAAACTTTTAATGCCTTTATTTAAAATAACAAAACGGGCAACTAAAATATGCATGTGATGAGAGTTGAAGATTATTACTCGGTCTGTTCATCACACAGTTAATGGATGATTTCAAATAGACATTGTAGAAATAATGTGGACTATTTTTAAGGGTGCTTCTCTTTCTTTTCTTCATTGGTTTATTTATTTTTTCTTTTTGTTTTAATGGAAAAAAAACCCGCTTACAGATTTGGAATATGAGTGGTGGCAGCATTGTTATATCATTTGAGAAAGGTGTTGGATTTTTTTTTTTCTTTAGTTTTCAGTCTTCACTTATTTATTTTCTCTGCACGCTTCCATCTGTGGATTTGCAGTGATGTCATGGCAGAAGGAGATAAGACGAAATACAGTTCAAAAGCTTTTGTGCTCAAACTGCATTTTAGTATCTGCCACGGAAACTTCACAGCTCAAAACAAGGCTTTTTAGGTGTAAGAACTCCTGTTAGAGAGAATTTGTGAAACTGACATGAAACAAACCTCACTGTGGCTCATACTTGAAGAGGCTTTTTTCTCAAACTGTCCCAGGCAGACAGCCACAAGGCGGAGGCAAACACACCCCTGACATCCTGTGAGTAATGTACCCCAGATATTATGAATCCAAAATATTTTCCCCTCTCTCCTCTATGCTGGAATGCAGGCCGGATTTGTTTGCAGTGAGGCCTTGTCCCTCCGTCCCATGTGTTGACTCAGCTGAACAGATTTGTAAAGACAGCTGTGCTGTCCGTCTCTTCCTGTCCACACACCAAAGTGCAGGGTGGAGGGATCTCATTTTTGAGACAGCATACATAAAGCACAGACATAGTAATGATTAACATTTGCATTTATAGCATAACATAAGCTTCCACTTCTAAATTCTGATTTAATGAGCCTTCTTCTCATCTTAATGCACCAAGTTGTTACTCTGCTTGGCAGCTGTAAACGGTTTTGTTTTGCATTAATGAGCAGCTGATTGTACATTTGTCCTTATTACATGGCAACATACCAATTAAATAAGTAAATAGACATGAAATATTGATTTAAGCTGGTTATCTGAAAAGAAAGACCGCTGAGTGGTGTGAGGGACATCAGTCTCCTACACTGTGCTAGTTTATGTAAAGCAGTCAAAACAGTCAAATATATAGGTTATTCATCATTATAAAGCATTTATTAATAATAATTTATTCATTATTATTATTATTGATATTATTGTCAGATATTGTTATACTATTTTATTTAATTTGAACACCAGTTTCTTACACTGTAGTATTTTGTTTAAACAGTCAAATATCTAGTTTATTTGTCATCATATGAAATATATTAACAACATCGTCATATACATTATATTTATCATCAGTTGTCATTATACAGAAATATTCATTTGTCAGATATGGTTGTAGTATTTTTTAACTACTTAATTTGGACATCAGACAGTCTTTACACTGTATTTTATGTCTAAGGAAAGCAGTCAAATAGTTTTTGTCATAGGAATAATAACAATGATTTAAAAAAATATATAATATCTTATATATTATCATATTAATTGTCGTCATACACAAATAATAATAATAAAAAAAAAATTATAGTAGTAATTGTTGTTGTGATAATTCAATTGTCTATTACATGTGGGTTTTTTTTTTAACCAAATATAAGTAAGTATTCTTAGACGCAATGTAAAGTGTATTATTAAAATCTTTATTATGCTCATAATTATTAAATATTTGGCTGTGTAAACCCTTATGTTAATATATTTTTTTTTAAAAAGCTAACAGCCAACACTATATAAAAAGCTATAATCATCCCCTTGTTTTTAATAGTTTTGGGTGACTGACACTAAGTGACGGTTTTTGATTTTGACCCAGCAGAAGGGCTGCGTCACCTGCTGATTTTGTTCTATATGCCTTCAAATATCAAATAAATTATTCATGGATATTACGTGCACCGATGCCGGTTTAATTGATAACATTAGTGAATGCTGCACTTTGCCCTCTGTTACAACCATTTCTTTTCCAAAATGGGTCGGGATGGTTTTACTTTCTGGTCTATTAATATTCTAAGCACAGATGTTGAAATGGCTTTGGTTTTTTCAGTCATACCTGAGAGGTAATTTTCTCCGTTTCAGGTGATTCTGGTTTCTGCCAATAAACTCACACGATACATTGAACCATGCCAGCTTACAGATGAATTTGGCGGGAGTCTGGTTTATGATCATTTGGACTGGCTCAACAAAAGATTGGTGAGAACAAAAGCCCTTCATTCTCTCTTTACTGGTAGACCACAGTGATTCAGGGTTATTGTAGTTAATAGACTGGGTAATGCATTCATTATATATTCATGCGATATAGCTGGCAAAGTAAAATTAAGTAACACTGTGAATAATGGTGTAATTTTAACATGCCGTTTTGTAGTTTTCTAAAGGCAGTGTCATTAGACTAGTTCATTTCTGTGAATCAGTTTATTTCTGGGAATCAAATGGTTTTAATGAATTGATTCATAACCCTGATTCACAATATGTTCAGACATATTTTAAATCAAAATGTTTTAGCAACAATGTTTTTTTTTTTCTTCTTTTTTTAAATGGAGTTGTATTGTTTAATATAAATTAACTTTAGGTAAATTAAATATTATAAACATTCTTCTTATATTCATACACTGAAAATAGTGTGGAAAACATGGCTAATTATTTGCATTTTGAATCTACTTAATGGTGGCAGTTTAGTTGAAACCATGTAGTTTATTATTATAGTATTTATTAACACTTTAAATTATTGATTTATTGTTTTATGTACTTTTATATATTTCTATTTAGCTTTAATTAGTTTAGTGCTTCAATGTATTTTGTTTCAGTTAGCTGTCAAGGTATCGTCTAGTTTATATTTTATTTGTACTTAATTTTAATATATTTCATTTATCAGGGATGCAAACGTGTCACCTTTCGGCGAAATTTGCCATTTTGAATTCAAAATGGGTAATTTGTGTGATTCGTGTAGATCCGGTGAGTTTTTTTTAATTTGTGTGTGAGGGGGGGTTAATATATAATATTATACTTCTTTAATATGTAAAAGTATAATATATCCCTTAATATTTCTCTTGTGGCCCGTATAGTGAAAAACATGAGAAGAAACGTATTTTGCGTTATCAGTGCATGAAATAAAGCTGCTCTTAATTTTCATTGATGACAGCGCTAGAATGGTTTAAAATCGCTCGCGTGTGTAAACACGTGCAATTGATAAACTTTCATTCTATTATGGTTAAATTTTGCAATCAATCCGCGGATCACATGCATGCCGAATCGTGGGGCTTGGTCTGTACGAATCACAGATCAACTACGATCCGTTTAACCACTAGCTCTGGCTATACTTCATAGTCATTTTGTAATAAATCCAAAAGCAAGTCCTGTAAAAAAAATAAATAAAAAAAAACTAGGGAGTGGAAATGGCAAAAGAGCTAATGAGTGATCCTCTGCTGCCATCTACTGGATAGTAAAGGTAATTTCATGTCGTTTTCATCAGTCTTTGTTTTCCACCAGGAGACCATTTATTTCATGTCATTTTCATGAATGAAATGTGAATTTTTAAAGTGAATTTTGATGAGTTTGCATCCCTGATTTACATTAGATTATATCATTATACATTATATCGCCCTGTCCAAGTGGCTGTTTCAACAGTGTGACATTTTTAACTTGAGGTCTTATTTGGCATTTGTTCATCTAGGTCTTTGAAAAATTCACGAAGGAATCCACGTCCCTTCTGGATGAACTTACCGGCATCAATGAAAATGAGAAAGGAAGCCAGGCAGAGAAGGACAGGTACTTTGTCTCATTAGCTCCAGGCATGAGCTCCTAATTAAGAATGTCATTTCAAGGGCCAAGTGTTTTTCTGTTAGCTATGAGCCATTCTTAAAGGTGTAATTAAAATGTTTAGTGCATTTAAAAAGCAATCAAATATCCAGAGAAACCAACATGTTTGTTTCATTAAATGGTCATGATTTTATAGACGAAAGCTCAGAAACAACATATTGTTACACTCATAGGTCTTCAGAGAGCAACATCCTGCCTTCATTTGATCCCGAAACGGTCCTGCAGACTGGTGAGTGTCAATCTGTGCTGTCTGTGTTTGTAATGCATGTAGACTGTGCTTCGAAATTGCAAAACTGCCATAAGTTATTTCTGTAATATTTTGGGTTCATTTGTAAAACTAGTTGCAAAAGCAGATTTTTGGTTTGGGAATTTTAACTGCATTGCTCTATCCAGCATGTGATGTCAACAGTGAAACTGTTTTTCCAGCTGGCCTGTAACTCCATTCAGTTTTATTGGTGGGGTAGAGCTAAGAACTTGGCTTTAGTGTTGTTTAACACTCTAAAGCGATTTCACAGCTTTTGTATTTGAAGCTGAAGCTGGTTTGTAAAGTGTGTTGACTCTGCCCTGATCAGTATGTCTCTGACACCATGCCCTACTCTAAAGAATGGCTCCAATGAACTTCTGCTCGCTGTGAGTGACTCTGCTTTGAATAAACAGTTAGAGGCAGGCTTGTGCACCATTTACAATTGAATTGTGAATGCCTTTTAAATGCCTTAAAATGCTGAATTGTTTTTGAAAGTGGAATTAGAATGCAATTAAATTTATAATTGCTCTTTTATTTTTCTGTATGAAATAAACATGCTTGATTGAATTTTTCATTATAAATGTATTTTAAAATGTGTCAAGCAATATAAATGAAATATTTTATGTATTTATTTTCACATGAATCAGCACTCTTCTGCCATCCCTGCATTGTTTGAATGCAAATTTTAATGCACGTTTGATGAACGTAAATGAACTTAAAAATAAAATAAAAATAAATAAATAGGTAATATTTGGTCAATTATATTTCATTTACAAATTTACCTTAACATTTATTTGTGTGTAAAGAATGGTATTTAAAAAAGAAAAAAAGAAAAGTAAGAAGGAAAAAAACGAAAGAAAGCTTGAATATTTTGGAACTTAACTTTGTAATATCAATAGTTATTGAATTTTTTTTATGCCATCCCTGCATTGTTTGAATGCAAATTTTAATGCACGTTTGATGAACGTAAATGAACTTAAAAATAAAATAAAAATAAATAAATAGGTAATATTTGGTCAATTATATTTCATTTACAAATTTACCTTAACATTTATTTGTGTGTAAAGAATGGTATTTAAAAAAGAAAAGTAAGAAGGAAAAAAACGAAAGAAAGCTTGAATATTTTGGAACTTAACTTTGTAATATCAATAGTTATTGAATTATTTTTTATTGATGCTGTGTATACAATTTTTAGATTAATGCATTTTTTTGTCCTCTTTTGTCCTTAACATACTTAAATTTTTGCCTAATTTGTTTTTGTTTTGGCTAATTCGTTTCCTCTGTCTTTCTGTTTTGCCTAAACCTTTGCCTATTAAATTCCTATTCCTGTCATTACAATTCCAATGTAATATCTTGTAAGACCAATTTGATTCATATTCATGTTCATGAGTTGAAAAGCAACACATTCTCAGTGAATCCTGAATTTTGCCTAACCTTGGTTAGAATAATTCACAAGTATAGGCACAAATAAAAACACAGCAATGGTACAAAATTAGTTTTTCCTCTGTTCCTTTCTTCTGTATTTGAGTATGTCACTTTGTGTCTAACTTAGGTGACATACTGGCTTAATGTATTCACACTGCATCAATTCTATCTGTACTCCTTGACAGTTGTGAAAATTTGCCTTTGCATTCATCATTTTCTTTCTGTTTGACACTTTGCTTATGAAACATTTTATTACTGTTTACTGCATTCAGTTTTCAAATGGCTTAAACCTTGATTTCTGTCCTAAATGTTGTTTTTCTTTCCTGATTTCTTCCTGTCTTACAGGACATGAGTTGCTCTCGGAGCTGCAGCAGAGGCGTTTCAATGGCTCTGAGGGTGGAGGTGGTGGCACAGCCTGGTCACCCATGGACGATGAGCTGCTGGCTCAGCCTCAGGTGATGAAGCTCCTGGACTCTCTGAGGGAGCAGTACACAAAGTATCAGGAAGTTTGCCGACAGCGCAGCAAACGCTCCCAGCTAGAGGAAATCCAAACCAAGGTCATGCAGGTAAAACACTGGGGGGGATTTATAAGAATCGTAAACCAAAAATTGTAAGATCACTTTCCGATAGGTTGTGTTGTAGAAAAACTGTCTATAGGTTGCCTTTGGTGCTTTTCAGCTGTTAGACATTCCTGTTCTCTTTGTTTGAGCCAAGAAGCAAAACTGTGTTGTACTTGAGCTTTGCCAAATACATTCGAGATATCTTTGCACAGTCATCTTTTATGAACACCACATGATGTGGTGGAGTGTGAGTTTCAATTTCATCTGTCCACCATTTTGTTTTATTTGCATGTCGAAATTTCACTGAGGTTTAAAAGAAGACATCTTGCTCCACAGCGTCAGTTCAGACTGTGGCTGAGTTTTAGTACTTTGGTGAATCAGCCGTCTTGGTCCACAAATAGAGCCATTTTTGGTGGTTCTTCGCACCATACAATCTTTGAGTCTTTTTGCAGAAAAGATATGTCACACAATTCTTTCACAAACGGTGCTGCGCTGTCTTCTTGGAAGGCTTACAGAATGCACTCCCACAAAATTCTCACTGAGAATCCGATTACCATAGAGAATAACTGGTAGATGTATGACTGCATCGGCATAGCCTTGCTCTCTATGTATCTATATTTTGCACTTTTGTTTTCTTTTAGTTGATATCAATTTAGTTAATTTAAATCAGTTGGTTTAGATAATTTGATCATGGTTTAGAACTTTTAAACTTTCCATTTATAAAAGAATCCTGAAAAAATATCATGAATTCCACTAAAATATTAAGGTGTTGTTTTCAACATTGATAATAATAATAAAATGTTTCATAAGCACCAAATCAGCATATTAAACTGATTTCTGAATGAAAATTCAGCTTTGCCGTCACTGGAATAAATGACCTTTTAAAATGTTTATATAGAAAACAGTTTCTTTAAAATATTTTATTATAAATTAATATAATCATATTAATTTATAATTAATAAATTAATATAAAAATAAATGAATTATTTAAATAGTTAAATATTTTGCTGTATTATGTTTTTCACTTTGTTGGATCAAATAATTGCAGTTTTTTTTATTTTAGTTTGCGTGTTTGTTTGTTTATTTGAATATTTTTTGTTTTTCTAATAAAATATTGTTTCTAACCATATTTATACAGTTGTAGCATTATAATGTAACATTATTGCAATAATAATAGTACAAATTATTACAATGTAATTTCTCTTTGAGGACTATTCCACTTATGAGGCACCATGTGAAGGGAAAAAATCGTTACACTCTTTAAAGTGGTGGTTGACTGCTTTTTTTTTCTATGCTTGATTGTGTTTATATACGTGTTAATGCTTCGTTTAAAAAAACACATTATTTTTCACATAATTTAACTTTATTCTACACCGCTCTGTTCCTTCTCCGATGAACGCTCGGATGATTTCCTGGTTTTATGAAGCCCCTCCCTCAGAAATTTGCTATGGGCTCAGATTGATTAGCTGGCCCAGCGTGTTGTGATTCGCTAAACCACCTAGTGCGCGTTCAGAACTGTCACGCCCCTCACCTCAGGCAGTGGCATGTGGCAACGCATTTCTGTAAATCCGTTTCAGTCTGACCAGTCAAATCGGATTTAGCCTAGCTTTTTCACGTTTTCACGCCACGTAAAACGTAAAAACGTCAGACGTTTTTGTAGAAAACATAATGAAAGTCTTTGCAGAAACAAGCTTGTCTTGTTGCGAACTGAAAGTCAAGTGGAAAAAGACAATATACTGCTAGTATACGCACCTGTTTGAGTTTTGAAACCAGCGGAGATGGCTGCACAGAATAAAGCCACATTCCCGCTTCCTGCATTTCTGCCGCTGCCTCATAAAATTAAATCCATAATAATAATAAACAAGCTTGTGTTGTTGCGAACTGAAAGTCAAGTGGAAAAAGACAATATACTGCTAGTATACGCACCTGTTTGAGTTTTGAAACCAGCGGAGACGGCTGCACAGAATAAAGCCACATATTCCCACTTCCTGCGTTTCTGCCGCTGCCTCATAAAATTAAATCCATAATAATAATAATAATCCAGCGCAACGGCAACATGTTGTCATGTCATAAGACACCATCTAATTGCAAACTGTAGCTGTGTCTCATTTAGAAGGCTGCGTCCTCTGGAGGTCACATCCTCTGTAGGTCACATCCTTTGAAGGATGCGTATATGGAGTATCCTCAACCCAGAATTAAACAAGACCGCTTTCGTAGGACGAGCGGAAAAGGAAACAGGAAATATCACGTTGCTATGCCAACACATTTATAGCGTCATTGCGCTCTCACGCTAGTTAAATGTACAATACCAGAGTGTTAAACAAATTAATTATTTCTCGCCTTGCTAGCAAAGTACTATTCTCAACATTTAAAAATCACCAAACACTTGTAATCCTGTTTACCGCATCTATCAACTGAGGTAACACAACTTAAAAGAAAAACTTGAAAATACTTAATTTAAACACATCTTCGCTTGTGTGTAACATTACATCTGCCGGCGCTGCCTGTTTTTTTTTTTTTTTTCTTCAAATAAACGACGGTTGTTTACAGCGACGCAAAGAATTGTGGGTTATCTGTAGCAGCGAAGGATACACCTCATGCATCCTCCGAATTCCTTTGAAAGAAGGTCGCATTCTGAGTGACCTACTTGCTTTTCTGAAATGAGACGGCCTCGATGACGAATGCAGCCTTCGAATGTGACCTCTGGAGGGCGCAGCCTTCGAAATGAGACACAGCTTGTGTTGCTGTTGTTGTTTTTAGCGTTGGCATAAAGCAACGGCATTGCCATAGAAACCAACGCACATTCAAATATAAATAGATTTTTTTCGTGCACCCATAGTTTTGACGACAACTCTTCCTCTTCTCTAAAGCAGCGCAGCATGGCCTCGCCCCCTTTGTTTGTACCCGGGGTGGGGTTTATGTAAATTTCAGGGTTTGTGATGTTACTTGTTGTAGTCCAAAGTAAATTACACTGTCAAGGTTCAGCATAGTATGAAAGACATCGTCAGAATAGTCCATCTGCCATCATTGGTTCAACCGAACCGTTATGAAGCGACAAGAATACTTTTTGTACGCAAAGAAAACTAAAATAACGACTTTATTCAACAATTCATCTCCTCTGTGTCTCTCCGCATCACCGTAGTGACATTTTGGAGAATATCCGTTGGATGCAAGCAGCGTACGCTCTTCTGTGACAGCCACGCTGCACGGATGCTCTGTTTTCATTCAAATCAAAGCGTAGAAAACATATCCTTGTGTCGCGGCTGACACAGAATGGCGTACGCAGTTTGCGTTCAGCAGATATTCTCCAAAATGGTGCTACGGTAATGCGGAGAGACATGGAGACAAATTGTTGAATAGTCGTTATTTTTGTTTTCTTCGCATACAAAAAGTATTCTCGTTGCTCAAACAGCAACATTACACACTAACTAAAGTTAAAGTCAAATCACAATCAACCACCCCTTGATGATTTCCTGGTTTTATGAAGCCCCTCCCTCAGAAATTTGCTATGGGCTCAGATTGATTAGCTGGCCCAGCGTGTTGTGATTCGCTAAACCACCTAGTGCGCGTTCAGAACTGTCACGCCCCTCACCTCAGGCAGTGGCATGTGGCAACGCATTTCTGTAAATCCGTTTCAGTCTAACCAGTCAGATCGGATTTAGCCTAGCTTTTTCACGTTTTCACGCCACGTAAAACGTAAAAACGTCAGACGTTTTTGTAGAAAACATAATGAAAGTCTTTGCAGAAACAAGCTTGTGTTGTTGCGAACTGAAAGTCAAGTGGAAAAAGACAATATACTGCTAGTATACGCACCTGTTTGAGTTTTGAAACCAGCGGAGACGGCTGCACAGAATAAAGCCACATATTCCCACTTCCTGCGTTTCTGCCGCTGCCTCATAAAATTAAATCCATAATAATAATAATAATCCAGCGCAACGGCAACATGTTGTCATGTCATAAGACACCATCTAATTGCAAACTGTAGCTGTGTCTCATTTAGAAGGCTGCGTCCTCTGGAGGTCACAAGGTCACATGGTCACATCCTCTGAAGGATGCGTATATGGAGTATCCTCAACCCAGAATTAAACAAGACCGCTTTCGTAGGAAAAGGAAAAAAGGAAACAGGAAATATCACGTTGCTATGCCAACACATTTATAGCGTCATTGCGCTCTCACGCTAGTTAAATGTACAATACCAGAGTGTTAAACAAATTAATTATTTCTCGCCTTGCTAGCAAAGTACTATTCTCAACATTTAAAAATCACCAAACACTTGTAATCCTGTTTACCGCATCTATCAACTGAGGTAACACAACTTAAAAGAAAAACTTGAAAATACTTAATTTAAACACATCTTCGCTTGTGTGTAACATTACATCTGCCGGCGCTGCCTGTTTTTTTTTTTTTTTTTCTTCAAATAAACGACGGTTGTTTACAGCGACGCAAAGAATTGTGGGTTATCTGTAGCAGGGAAGGATACACCTCATGCATCCTCCGAATTCCTTTGAAAGAAGGTCGCATTCTGAGTGACCTACTTGCTTTTCTGAAATGAGACGGCCTCGATGACGAATGCAGCCTTCGAATGTGACCTCTGGAGGGCGCAGCCTTCGAAATGAGACACAGCTTGTGTTGCTGTTGTTGTTTTTAGCGTTGGCATAAAGCAACGGCATTGCCATAGAAACCAACGCACATTCAAATATAAATAGATTTTTTTCGTGCACCCATAGTTTTGACGACAACTCTTCCTCTTCTCTAAAGCAGCGCAGCATGGCCTCGCCCCCTTTGTTTGTACCCGGGGTGGGGTTTATGTAAATTTCAGGGTTTGTGATGTTACTTGTTGTAGTCCAAAGTAAATTACACTGTCAAGGTTCAGCATAGTATGAAAGACACCGTCAGAATAGTCCATCTGCCATCATTGGTTCAACCGAAACGTTATGAAGCGACAAGAATACTTTTTGTACGCAAGGAAAACTAAAATAACGACTTTATTCAACAATTCATCTCCTCTGTGTCTCTCCGCATCACCGTAGTGACATTTTGGAGAATATCCGTTGGATGCAAGCAGCGTACGCTCTTCTGTGACAGCCACGCTGCACGGATGCTCTGTTTTCATTCAAATCAAAGCGTAGAAAACATATCCTTGTGTCGCGGCTGACACAGAATGGCGTACGCAGTTTGCGTTCAGCAGATATTCTCCAAAATGGTGCTACGGTAATGCGGAGAGACATGGAGACAAATTGTTGAATAGTCGTTATTTTTGTTTTCTTCGCATACAAAAAGTATTCTCGTTGCTCAAACAGCAACATTACACACTAACTAAAGTTAAAGTCAAATCACAATCAACCACCCCTTTAAAATCCCCTTTGATAAACCTCTGATGGATATAATTTATATTAATTTTTGTTTGTGCATTCATAGAAATTCTTAATGAAGAATGTCTACGTTTAAACTCTGCAACCAGTATTTCTTGGTTGGTTAGTTTTACATCTCTGCAGTCACCAAGTGTAGTGTTTAGGTTATGTTAGGTTTAGGTTAAGGAGATGGTGAAATCAGAGATTGTGTATCGTATGAAAATCTCTCAGAGCCACTCTTGTTGGATGAAACAAAAATGTCTGTTTCCATGGTGATCAGGATAATGGGAGGTGCACATCTTGTGTGTCGGAAAAGAAAATGAGACGGCCTCGATGACGAATGCAGCCTTCGAATGTGACCTCTGGAGGGCGCAGCCTTCGAAATGAGACACAGCTTGTGTTGCTGTTGTTGTTTTTAGCGTTGGCATAAAGCAACGGCATTGCCATAGAAACCAACGCACATTCAAATATAAATAGATTTTTTTCGTGCACCCATAGTTTTGACGACAACTCTTCCTCTTCTCTAAAGCAGCGCAGCATGGCCTCGCCCCCTTTGTTTGTACCCGGGGTGGGGTTTATGTAAATTTCAGGGTTTGTGATGTTACTTGTTGTAGTCCAAAGTAAATTACACTGTCAAGGTTCAGCATAGTATGAAAGACATCGTCAGAATAGTCCATCTGCCATCATTGGTTCAACCGAACCGTTATGAAGCGACAAGAATACTTTTTGTACGCAAAGAAAACTAAAATAACGACTTTATTCAACAATTCATCTCCTCTGTGTCTCTCCGCATCACCGTAGTGACATTTTGGAGAATATCCGTTGGATGCAAGCAGCGTACGCTCTTCTGTGACAGCCACGCTGCACGGATGCTCTGTTTTCATTCAAATCAAAGCGTAGAAAACATATCCTTGTGTCGCGGCTGACACAGAATGGCGTACGCAGTTTGCGTTCAGCAGATATTCTCCAAAATGGTGCTACGGTAATGCGGAGAGACATGGAGACAAATTGTTGAATAGTCGTTATTTTTGTTTTCTTCGCATACAAAAAGTATTCTCGTTGCTCAAACAGCAACATTACACACTAACTAAAGTTAAAGTCAAATCACAATCAACCACCCCTTTAAAATCCCCTTTGATAAACCTCTGATGGATATAATTTATATTAATTTTTGTTTGTGCATTCATAGAAATTCTTAATGAAGAATGTCTACGTTTAAACTCTGCAACCAGTATTTCTTGGTTGGTTAGTTTTACATCTCTGCAGTCACCAAGTGTAGTGTTTAGGTTATGTTAGGTTTAGGTTAAGGAGATGGTGAAATCAGAGATTGTGTATCGTATGAAAATCTCTCAGAGCCACTCTTGTTGGATGAAACAAAAATGTCTGTTTCCATGGTGATCAGGATAATGGGAGGTGCACATCTTGTGTGTCGGAAAAGAGTTTTGGCCTACTTCTTCCCTTCTGTGAAAAATTGCGCAGGGAAGGGGGGATCATTTGTAAGCCGCAGTGCCTGAAGCAATTACAGACAGGAAGGCGTGCAAGCTAAGCAGTGGTTCTTAAAAAGTTCAGTCACCTCCGCATTAGACAAATTAATGACTTTCTTCACAAAGCAGGTTCTCTTGCTGCTGTTCCAGACTTTTCATTTGCTCCCCTAGTTCATTAAACAACAAAAGTGAAATTAATTTGTCTGCCATTTCAGTTGTTATTCCCAGTTTTACCTCTCAGCTGTTGAATTGAGACTGAACTTGCATATCAAGCAAGTTAATTAAATGGTTAGTTCACCCATAATTGAACTTTTTTTTTTCATCTTCATGTTGTTCCAAACCTGTATGCTTTTCTTTCTATGCAACACAAAAGGATGAATTTTGAAGAACAAAACACCATAAAGTTAATTTGACGTTTGAAGACACAATATTTGTGTAAGAAATAGACTGAAATACAAGTCATTATTCACTGACAATCTTCCGTTTTGCTGCAGCTCTGAAATCCCATTTGTTCTCTGATACTGATGTTCTTTCAAAATCTGACAGCTGAAAGATCATGCAGCCCTCCAGACATGCAACCCACATTTGTCTTTTTGTAAACAAGTAAATATCTGATTTAGTAAATCTCTCATTTGGGCTCTCATCGACCTGATCCTGTCATTTAGATAATTAGATTTGCTCTGTGTTCTTCCTGATTTCTTTCCGATTACGAGTCTGCTCAGTGGCTCGGGGGTCAAATGTGGTAGTGATTCACTAATTAAAGGTTTCTTTGTCTGTGTTTATGTTTTGTGTGTGAGCAGGTTGTGAATTGGCTGGAGGGTCCTGGCACAGAGCAGCTCCGCACACAATGGGGGATTGGAGACTCCATTCGCGCTTCTCAGGCCTTGCAGCAGAAACATGAGGAGATCGAGAGTCAACACAGTGTAAGTACAACCATAGTCTCTAGTGCATGTTTTTTTGTGGCATAAGGCATGTATAGGCTCTGTGAAATGCAAATTGGGGGGAGATCGTGATGCCGGCTCAACATCGTGATGTCTATCAGCCATCGGCGATGGACGATGACATCGGCTCAACCCTAATGCTCTATATTTCAAATGTTCTAAAGTTTGGAGTATGGAGTCAAATTAATGCCACATGTACTTGCAAAAGAATTGAAGTATTGCAAAAAAAAAAAAAAAGTTTTGCAAATGAAAATATAAGTATTGGGGGAAAAAAAATATATATATATGCTTTTGCAAGCAAAAATAAAGGATTGCAAAATATATATGAAACTGAGCAAAAGCAGTGATTTTGCAACCCATATTTTTCATGGCCATAGCTGCTAATTTATTTGCAAAACTGCTTTTATTTTGTGTTTGAGTCAAGTGTGAACTTGCAATAAACAATAGTTTTTTTTCTCAATACTTTAATTTTCGTTTGCAAAACTTAATTTTCTTTTGCAATGCTTCAATTCTTTTGCAAGTATATGTGGCGTTAATTTGACTCCATATCACAGTTTTTTATAAATATAAAAGCTAACTTAAAAAAAAATTTAACACTTGAACATACATCAGTGAGATAAAAACTACCTAAAATTATAGAAACCATCTTAAGGAAAAGTTTATTTGAAGTGTAATTAGATTATTATTTTTTTTTGTTTGGCTTAAGTCCCATTCATTTACATAGAGAGGGAGGGGTTTATGACCTATACTGCAGGCAGACACCAGATGGCAATCAAAATGGTTTGGCTTTACTTTTCAGGATATGTGTGGCACAACTGAACTAAACCGCCATGTGCACTGGTACATGTAGTCTTTTAACCAGTGAATTGTAAATAATGTACATTAAATACTGGCGGTCACTGTGGTAGTTAGCCTAAAAAGTTGTGAACCACTGTTGTAGAACATAGAACTCAAACAGTCAGAGCTGCTGATAGAATAATGATCTGTGATCTAATACCGTGATATAAATTTTTGGTCATACCGCCCAGCACTACTCTGAAATAAATGTTATTTTCATTTAATGATATGAATCCCTCTTAGATTTTCATCCTGTGCCCTCTATTCATCTGGCTCCATTGTGGTATTTAACACCCGCTTTTTGCAATCCTATCCAAATTCCAGAAGGATAAAAATCAAGTCTCGCCCTACTTTCTATTTTTCTTTTGCTGAATATCCTGTTCCCCTTGGGTGCTTGTCAAAATACAAAAATAAAATGTCTTGAAGTCAACCTAAAATGCCATTCACAGGCCATTTGCACACATTTAAAGCCACAGATTTCCTCACCAGTCAGCACAGAAAATCAGTGTACATATTCATTGTGAGCCTACATATTACTTAAATAATTATTTTGTTTATTGAGTGTTTCAAATGTATGCAAATATATGCATATATAGAAAGCTGCTTTCTGATGCCACTGTCATGTGTTTGTCACAGATGTCCCAGCAGTTAGACGGGCTGTTAGGCATGCTGTGTGCAGACGTCGCCCCTGCAGATGGAGCTGCAATCCAGCAAACTCTAAAACATCTGGAGGAGAAACTCAAGAGCGTGGGTAGGAAGCTCTGTTGTCCTACTCGTACGTCTGATCCTGGTTCATGTAATTAAAGTTTGATAAACCAGAACTTTTGGTGCTTATGCATCATATAACCGGACGTCTGATTTTCAAGAACCACCCAAGACATACAAATAAAATAAATTGTGGCTGGTTGTCTTGTCATTTAGCAGTGTTTAATCATGAAACATGAAAAAATGTAATATGAAAATTTTTCAACAGTTTTTTCAACGCATTTGCATTTAGCAGACACTTGTATTTAAAGCAGCTAATTACAAAAATAATAATTCTTAAACTGACATAAAACATTCATTAAAACAAAGTGAAATATGCTACTCCACTTGCTAATTAGTGCTTTAAACAACATATACATTTTCAGTTGTTTTATCAAATATATGCCTTGTAAATGCAACTTTTTTTTTCCAGGGTGACTGGCATCAGAATCTTAAAAAAAATCCACATAGAGAAGTTTCCTCTCTTTCTGTGTATTGAGTCTCTCACTGTTTTCCAGAGGGTGCCTTGCAAAGCTTGAGAGAAAAAGGCCAAGTACTGCTTGACCAGATGTCTACCCAGACGTCCTTTTCCTATGGCAAGGATGTAAGCATTGAGAACAAGGAGAATATTGACCACATTCACAGCGTCATGGAGGACATGCAGCTCCGCAAACAGAGGTTCCTCTTCTCTTTTCATGATTTTTAATCATGGACATGGCACTTCTGGTATACCAAAAGAAAGCGATGGTGGTCTGATGTGCTCACTTGTGTTTTATAGGTGCGAGGACATGGTTGATGTCAGGAGACTCAAGATGCTGCAGATGGTACAGCTCTTCAAGTGTGAGGAAGATGCTTCACAGGTCAGAGCTTGAAATTCAAATGGAGAGACTCTTAGAAGTGGGACTGTAGTTCCTGAGGGGCTGTAAGGGCCTTTTAACTTTTTTTCACAGGCAGTGGAATGGTTAGGAGAGTTGCTCGATGCTTTGTTGAAGACCCACATTCGACTGGGAGATGATTCACAGGAAACCAAAGTGCTGCTGGAGAAACACAAGAAGTTTGTGGATGTTGCACAGGTATTCTGAATTTCCTCTGCTGGCACACCCATCAGCAAATTGAATTATATTGAATGAGCAGCTAGACCATGTGAAATCCCAATGAAAAAAAAATCTATTTTGCATTATTATTATTAATATTATTATTATTTTATGTGTGTTGTTACAGGAGGTAAAAAAAAAGAAGCAATTTTTCTTATCAAAAGTGACACTTTAATAAATGCTTCATTCATATTATAAATCCTGTTTTTCCTCTTTGTATGTTTGGGCAATTTTTTTGTCGTCTTTCAAGAGTATTGTGTTGTTACTTGTTGGAGTATCCAGCCCATGTTTTGTTATCGGTTCGCAGTAACCTCTTCCTTTTCTGCTTTCAGAGCACCTATGATTACGGCCGCCAGCTGCTGCAGGCCACAGTGGTGCTGTGCCAGTCTCTGCGTTGTACCACCCGCTCCTCAGGGGACACGCTGCCCAGACTCAACCGTGTGTGGAAACAGTTCACAGTCACGTCTGACGAGAGGCAGCACAGGCTGGAGATGGCCAGTGCTTTCCACACAGCTGCGGAGAAGGTTGGTACAGTTCTGCAAAACAAATGTCATAAATCTAAAGGAGTAGTTTAAGGAAAACTGTCACCATTTACTCACTCTCTTGGCGTTCCAAACCTGTATGAATTTCTCTCTTCCATGGAACACCATGGGAGAAATTTTGGGCGAACAGCATTGTTCTTTGGATTTTCTCCTTTTTGTGTTCCACGGAAAATATAATGGCAAATGGGTTTGCCCCAACATGAGGATGTATAAATCATGTGAATTGTGAATTGTTCCTTTAAAATGTATTGTTTGAGTTAATTTATCATGAAGAACCATTATTAGCTTAATTCTATTTATAACTTCATAAATAACTATGGTCTGCCTGTTGGCAGCACTAAGGTTTTTGATGGTGGAGAAAATCTGCATATTCATGTGTATTTTTAGCAAAGTAAAAAGAAAGCAAACATTTATACACCTACAATGGGGTTCAAAAGACTATGAATTTGCCTTCTGTTTATCCTTTATTATTATTATTATTATTATTATCATCATCATCATCAAAAAAAAAAGGGTGAATTTTATTCAAGTAGCTTTGGATGCCACAATCTATCCAAAGCCTGATGATTTTGATGTAGACTTTTGGACTCCACTGTATGTTAAACTAATTTCTCATTAATAATAATAATAATAGAGTTTTAGAGAAAACTAGTGTGTTTCAGTTATGTGGGCACACGTACTGTCTACAAACTTCCCAGCTGTAATATCAGACTAACTGGTTTTCTCTCTTCCTTCAGATTCTGAGAGAAAGCCCTGAATTAGCCGAGCTGATGGTGGATGTGGAGGCATATGAAGAGGTGGAGACTGTGGGGAAAGGTCTGCTGGACAGGCTCACTGTGCCAGTCATTTTCCCTGATGGGTAAGAACCGAAAGGCCAAAGTACAGCGCACTTATAAACCTCTGCTACTCTTTATTTTCTCTTAACTGCCATTAGTCTAAGTACTCATATCCTTGCATGTTCATGTTTTTTATTAGCTTAATTCTTGATAGGACAGTCGGTAGACGGGAAGCAAAGTGGGAGAGAGAGAAGGGGGCAGGATTAGGCAAGGTCAGCGAGCCGGGACTCGAACTTGGGACGCACGAAGCGCAACAGTGCTATATGTCAATGCGCTGCCCATTAGGCCATCACTGCCGACATGTTCATCTTAAATTCTATATGGATCAACATGCACAGGATTTATTTATTAATTTGTTGAAAAATCTTAACCATCATTATTATTATTATTATTACAATTAATATAAGTAATAATGATAATGACATTTTTAATAATAGGATCCTTTTAAACAGCATTGAAGGAGTTCCCATGTATTTTCAATCTGTAGGTGCTAGCAGCGCCAAGGTCATGGGTTTGATTCCAAGGGAATGCATGAATTGACAATGTATAGCTTGAATCCCATGTCACTTTGAATAAAGTGTCTGCCAAATACATAAATGTTGGCTGCTTTTCCTTCACTCATTTATGTATGTATGTATGCTTATTAATTAATATTTATGTACTTATTTACTAATTTATTTGTTTGTCCACATGCAAAATCCTGTGTGTAGATGTTGTTGTAGTAGTAGTAGTAGTCGTCATTTATGATGTATTCATACATTTTTCTTT